ACTACACAGTGTTGTCTCACTAGACTACCACAGTGTTGTCTCACTAGACTAAAACAGTGTTGTCTCACTTGACTACCAGTGTTGTCTCACTAAGCTACCACAGTGTTGTCTCACTAAGATTACCACAGTGTTGTCTTCTACTACCACAGCTCACTAAGCTTCCACAGTGTTGTCTCACACAGTGTTGTCTCACTAAGTTACCACAGTGTTGTCTAAACTACCACAGTGTTGTCTCACTACAGTGTTACTCACTAGACTACCACAGTGTTGTCTCTAAGCTAACTGTTGCTACCACAGTGTTGTCTCACACTAAGCTACCAGTGTTGTCTCACTAAGCTACCACAGTGTTGTCTCACTACTACCACAGTGTTGTCTCACTAAGCTACCACAGTTGTTGTCTCACTCACTAAGACTACCACAGTGTTGTCTCACTAAGCTACCACAGTGTTGTCTCACTAGACTATCACAGTGTTGTCTCACTAAGCTACTACTGTGTTGTACACACTACCACAGTGTTGTTGTCTCACTAGACTACTAAGCTTCCACAGTGTGTTGTCTCACCACAGTGTTGTCTCACTAAACTACCACAGTGTCGTCTCACTAGACTACAGTGTTGTCTCATTAAGCTAGACTACTAAGACTACAGTGTTGTCTCACTACAGTTTGTCTCACTAGACTACCACAGTCTCACTAGACTACCACAGTGTTGTCTCACTACCACAGTGTTGACTACCACAGTGTTGTCTCACTAGACTACCACAGTGTTGTCTCACTAAACTCACTCACTAGACTACCACAGTGTTGTCTCACTAGACTACCACAGTGTTGACTACCACAGTGTTGTCTCACTAGACTACCACAGTGTTGTTGACTACCACAGTGTTGTCTCTCACTGTTGTCTCACTAGACTACCACAGTGTTGTCTCACACTACCACAGTGTTGTCTCACTAAGCTACCACAGTGTTGTCTCACTAAGCCACCACTAAGCGACCAGAGTGTTGTCTCACTAAGCTACTACAATGTTGTCTCACTAGACTACCACAGTGTTGTCTCACTAAGCTACCACAGTGTTGTCTCACTAGACTACCACAGTCACTAGACTTGTCTCACTACCACAGTGTTGTCTCAACTACCACAGTGTTGTCTCACTAGACTACCACAGTGTTTTCTACTAAGCTACAGTGTTGTCTCACTAAGCTACCACAGTGTTGTCTCACTAAGCTACCACAGTGTTGTCTCTCAGTGTTGTCTCACTAGCTACCACAGTGTTGTCTCACTAGACTACCACAGTGTTGTCTCACTAAGCTACCACAGTGTTGTCTCACTAAGCTACCACAGTGTTCTCTCACTAAGCCACCGCAGTGTTGTCTCACTAGACTACCACAGTGTTGTCTCACTAAGCTACCCAGTGTTGTCTCACTAGAGACTACCACAGTGTTGTCTCACTAAGTCTACCACAGTGTTGTCTCAGTGTTGTCTACTAAGCTACCACAGTGTTGTCTCACTAGACTACCACAGTATTGTCTCACTAGACTACCACAGTGTTGTCTCACTAGACTACAACAGTGTTGTCTCACTAGACTACCACAGTGTTGTCTCACTAGACTACCACAGTGTTGTCTCACTAGACTACCACAGTGTTGTCTCACTAGACTACCACAGTGTTGTCTCACTAAGCTACCACAGTGTTGTCTCACTAGATTACCACAGTGTTGTCTCACTAAGCTACCACAGTGTTGTCTCACTAGACTACCACAGTGTTGTCTCACTCTCAGTGTTGTCTCACTAACTACCACAGTGTTGTCTCACTAGACTACCACTACTACCACAGTGTTGTCTCACTAAGCTACCACAGTGTTGTCTCACTAAACTACCACAGTGTTGTCTCACTAAGCTACCACAGTGTTGTCTCACTAGACTACCACAGTGTTGTCTCACTAAACTACCACAGTGTTGTCTCACTAGACTACCACCGTGTTGTCTGATTAAGCTACCACAGTGTTGTTTCACTAAGCTACCACAGTGTTGTCTCAAGAGATTTCCACAGTTTGTCTCATTAGACTACCACAGTGTTGTCTCACTAGACAACCACAGTGTTATCTCACTAGACTACCAAAGTGTTGTCTCACTAGACTACCACAGTGTTGTCTCACAAGACTACAACAGTGTTGTCTCACTAGACTACCACAGTGTTGTCTCACTAGACTACCACAGTGTTGTCTCACTAGACTACCACAGTGTTGTCTCACTAGACTACCACAGTGTTGTCTCACTTGACTACCACAGTGTTGTCTCACTAAGCTACCACAGTGTTGTCTCACTAGATTACCACAGTGTTGTTTCACTAGATTACCACAGTGTTGTCTCACTAAGCTACCACAGTGTTGTCTCACTAAGCTACCACAGTATTGTCTCACTAAGCTACCACAGTATTGTCTCACTAAGCTACCACAGTGTTGTCTCACTAAGCTACCACAGTGTTGTCTCACTAAGCTACCACAGTGTTGTCTCACTAAGCTACCACAGTGTTGTCTCACTA